TTAATAGGGCTTTGAAGATTTTTAATAAATCCTCTTAAAACACCTATAAAATTCTAAATAAATACTTAAAAGGACCCAATGGGGGTTAAGCCCCTATTAAGTCCAATTATATTCTAATTTTTTCCATTTCAAAATAATTGTTATTTTTTTAACTTTTTCTTCAAATTAAGGATTCGAGGACAATTCATACATTTATTTATATTATTTTTAGGAAAAAAACTTAACGATAAAGGGATACCTTTTGTGATAGGATAGTGAATTAAAATAAATGGATAATGATTGAGTTAAATTAGAATTTTTATTTCAATCAAAATTTTGTCCATACATAGGGAAGATTAAAAAGAAGAAAATGATGAAAATACATATTGGAAGAAGGAAATGTTAGACTGAAAATGAAGGAGAAAACTCATAAATTGAGTAGTAAGTATAAGTAAATTCTTATGATTGGTCAAAGATTTACATTTAAGAATACTAACATTAATTAAGAATGATTTTATTATTCTATTAAATGGGGAAAATGCAAAAAAGAAGGGGAATGGGGGAAAATGCATAAGAGAAGGGGAATGGAAAACGTTAGGTCCCTTAATTAGGAATAAGAAAGGTGGAAAAATGAAGTTTAAGGACCAACTTTTAATTTTTCTTTTTTTTTTTTCGTATTTTTTCCTTTACCTTAAAATTCTGATTTTATACATCTAATTGAAGGTTATGCAACCAACCATAAACCAAATTTCATGCACAAGGACCTTTACCTAAGAATGAAGTCAATTAAACCTTAAATGAAATAATAGTGTAATAAGAAAGAGAGCATATATTTTTGGATTATGAGATAAAGATTGTTGAAGTCAATTTTAGACTATATGTAAAAATTTTATAAGGATAATAATACAATATCCTTCAATTAGGTTTTCTCAATTCTCTTAATATCCTAATACCCTTTCTTTTTAATGTGGTTCTACACAATTTTTTAAAAAGGTATTATTGACAATTAGCAATTTTTAATCTAACCTTAATTATTTAATTAAAATTTTTGACTAAAAAATGATTATAAAATTTAGCAATTAATAAAAAATAATATAAAATTTAATTTTTAATATAAAAATTAAAAAAATAACAAGCAAAATCTAGTATATAAATAATATGCTACCTTATGTATTAAATACGGTATGTATTTATTTAAAATATAATATAATATTATATTTATTTCTTATCATTCTTTTCAAAATACTACCCTATGTATTAATTAGGATATGTATTTATAA